TTGCTGTGCTCCCTGAGCTATGACTTATTTTGTGAAAGTCTTTTGTGTTAAGTTTTATCCTCCTCACTGTGCTCCTTGAGCTATAACTCTCTGAAATGGACCTATCCCAGGTATCACTGGGTTCTCTCTTTTTCCCTAGTCATAGAGAGCTCAGCTGAAGGATCCTTCTAGTCTGCCATCTTGCTCCATCCCCTGAAAGCATTCTTTTTAAGTGAAGGAAAGATAAATCATCAAGAATTATAAGTATATAATTTGCAAATACTAAAAAAAAAAAAAAAAAAAACTTGAGTAATTCATCATTGATCTAATTTAAGAAATTACCAGTAGGAGCTCAGTGTACTTCAGAAACTGGTTTACAACAGTGGTCAACAAACCTTTTCTTTATTTGATATATAAGTTAAGAATGATTTTTATATTTTTTAAATGGTTGGAGAAGAAAATTTTAAAAATGCTCTTTTATAACAAGAAAATTGTATGAAATTCAGATTTCAGTGTTCATAAATAAACATATTGGAACATAGCCAAGCCCAATCACTTTGTATTGTCTATGGCTGCTTTTGCACCATAACAACTAAATTGTGACAGAGACTGTGTAGCTCATAAAATCTAAATATTTATTATCTGGCCTTTTATCAGCAAACTTTGCTTCACTGATAAGGTGAACTTACAGATCCTTGGTGTGTAAGACTTCTGAATCAAATTAATTTCTGAAGAGTTCTGTTACAAAACTTGGAGATCTGTCCAGGTGCGTGGCTCATGCCTATAATCCTAGCACTCTGGGAGGCTGAGGCAGGTGGATTGCCTTAGCTGACAGTTTCGAGACCAGCCTAAGCAAATGCGAGACCCTGTCTCTAAAAAATAGCCAGGCGATGTGGCCAGTGTCTCTAGTTCCAGTTACTTGGGAGGCTGAGACAAGAGAATAGCTGGAGCCCAAGAGTTGGAGCTGCTGTGGGCTCAGACACCATGGCACTCTATCAAGGGTGACAAAGTGAGACTCTGTCTCAAAATAAAATGAAATGAAATAAAATAAAATTAAGAGATTACTGGGCTATTAAATTGCAAATAGCCATTTGGAAAACCCTTTTCATCAGGTATTCATATTAAAATATTTCTTGATTTGTAAGCACCAGTATTTAAGGCTCTGAAAATTAATATCAAATTAAAACTCAAGCATTTTCAAACAGTATGAAATTTTAACTTTTTCCTTTTAGGGGGGTGGGAAATAGCTTATTCATTGTTTATTGTGGAACAGTTTATTATTTGGCTATTTTTTAAAAGAATAAGAAATGTATAATAAAGAGGTTTTTAAATCATTAGTGTGTTAATTCATGAATGGAAACACTTTGGGCATACCTTATAGGTATTTACTTATCCAAATATAAGATGACATTATGTTTTCCTTATTCCTATTTTACAGGAATGAAATAGGAATTTATTTAAGCTGCTCCAAAGAACAGTGAAAGAAACAGGATTAGTTTTTTTTTTTCAGCATTAGATTTTAAGTGATATTAGGTGTTTATGCTAGGCTCGAAAATTAATCCTTTTTGTATAGCTTTTATGATTTTTTTAAAGACAGATCAAAAACTTTATTCTAGCTATAAATGTGACCCATATTCACTGAAAACAGAAACTAAAATAAGGCATAAAGAGGTAACAATCTAAACACATTAATTTATAAAAGGGAAAAATCAGGACAGGGACATGATTATATTTTAGATTGACCCTATGATGGAAGCACAGAGTATATAAAGAAAAATCAGTGAAGACATTTGCAGACAGTGTGAGCCATTTAGGCTACTAAGTTTTGTAACCCCACAGCCTCTTATGATTTATTGTTCTTAATTAAGTAGTGATGCAGGGAATATATGTACATTATCATCTTGACTATTTGAGATTAGTTTAGGGTTTTTATTTCTGTATTGAGGGGGTGTTGATCTTTAAAAAAATTTTTTTAAATTTTTTTCTCAGCAATTTTTTTCCTAGAAATTTAATTTTTAAATTAAAAAAACATACAAAATTTATGATCAACCATTTTTAAGTATAGGGTTCAGGAATATTAGGAATATTCATGTTCACCAGATCTCTAGAACATTTTTTCATCTTACAAAAATCAAATTGTGCCCTTTAAACAACTACATCCCATCTCCCTCTCCCATATCCCCTGGCAAACACCATTCTACTTTTGTTTCTATGAATCTGACTGGTGTTAAGTACCTCATATAAATGGAATCATATGGTATTTGTCCTTTTTGTGACTAGCTTATTTTACTCAGCATAATGTCCTCAAGGTTCATCCATGTTGTAGCATGTGACAGGATTGTCTTCATTTTTAAGACTGAATAATACTAAATTGTATTTACATACCACATTTTCCTTGTCCATTCACCTATCTGCAGACATTTATTTGAGTTGCTTCCAATTTTTGGTTCTTTGAATAATGCTGCAGTGAACATGGGAGTGCTGGTGTCTGTGAAATCATACTTTTCAATTTTTTTGGATATGTACTTTTTAATGATACTTCTAATAGTTATTTTTGTTGATTTTAAAGTATTCTCAGTTTTCTGACATGGTAGGATTAGGAAATAATCTCAAGGTATAAAACTTATGATGGCTTGACTGTCATCATCAAGCAAACTTTGCTTTTCTGATAAAGTGAACTTACAGATCTCTGGTGTATAAGAACCCTGAATCTAATTAATTTCTGAAGAGTTCTGTTATTTTTTTTGAAGTTTTTTTAAATTGTTTTTTATTAAATCATAACTTTGTACATTGATGGGGTTAAGGGTACTGCATTATGCATTTATGGGGTTCAGGGTATTGCATTATAAAATTTGGAGACCCAGCTGGGTACAGTGGCTCACGCCCATAATCCTAGCACTCTAGGAGGCTGAGGCTTCCAGACAGCTGATTCCTTAGAGCATAATGAATTTTTGGAAGCTAATTGGTAACAGAAGTAAATAGAATGTACCCTTTTTTTTTTTTTTTTTTAGAGACAGAATGTCATTTTACTGCCCTTGGTAGAGTGCTGTGATGTCACAGCTCACAGCAACCTCCAACTCCTGGGCTTAGGTGATTTTCTTGCCTCAGCCTCCCGAGTAGCTGGGACTACAGGTGCCTAGCAAATGCCCAGCTATTTTTTTGTTGTAGTTTGGCTGGGGCTGGGTTTGAACCTGCCACCCTCGGTGTATGGGGCGGGCACCCTACTCACTGAGCCACAGGTGCTGCCCAAACATACCCTTTTATACTAAAGAATAAGTGTGGTATTATGAATGAATGTTCAATTGTATAGAAGAAGCTTATGATGGGATTTATTGCATTTCATTTATCTGTTACTGTGAAACAAATCACCTTGAAATTTAGTGGCTAACAGATTTTAATGGCTTCATTTATTCTCATGGTTCTGATGGCTGACAAGGCTGTTCTTAACTTACATGGTGTCAGCTGGGACATCCCAGATGTCCATGTAGTAGGCATTTGGTACTAGCTGCTGTTCTGGTGTTCAGCTTAGGCAGTTGGGGTGGGGTGGGGGGGGTCTCATTTCTTTGCCATGAGGGTCTCTCCATGTGGCTCGCTGGGCTCTTCACAGCATGATAGCTGGGACCAAGAAGGAGTGTTCCAGAAGATGGGCTCCAAGATGACAAGCCCAGTGAGCCAGTGCCTGTCAGGCTTCCATGTGCATCATGTGTGTGCTAATGTCCCATCAAAGCTAGTCATAGCGTGGCAGCTCGATGCCTGTGACTGAAGTGGCTAAGGCGCCAGTCACGTACACCTGAGGTGGTGGGTTCTAATCCAGCCCGGGCCCGCCAAACAACAACAGCTGCAGCCAAAAAATAGCCAGGCGCTGTGGCAGGCGCCTGTGGTACCAGCTACTTGGGAGGCTGAGGCAGGAGACTTGCTTGAGCCCGAGAGTTGGAGGTTGCTGTGAGCTGTGATGCCATAGCACTCTACCCAGGGGGACAGCTTGAGGCTCTGTCTCAAAAAAAAAAGAATCTAGTCACATAGAAACGCCAAGTCTTGTGGTAGGGGACGAACTCTGGGAAGGCCTGAATTACCAGGAGGTATAAGTCACTAGGGCCACCAAGGCAGCAGTCTACTATCATAATTGTGTAAAAGAAAGTTTATTTTAAATGAAGGCATTTAATGTATAGGTTTCTTGAATTTATCTGGTAAAACATTCTGGTAGTTTTCAAATTTAGGAAGGATTCACTGATTTATTTTAGTAATTTGTTCAAATTTTTGCTATTTGGGTGAAATTGTATTAATGCACAATAAGATTTGATTAGGTCATTAAAATTCAGCCACTTTGACTCTAAACCCAGTAAGAATGTAGAACAGCAGCCAGAGCAGTGGCTCCTGCCCATCATCCCAATGACTCAGAGGCCTGGGTAACCTTGAACCCAGGAGTTTACTACCAGCCTGGGCAGCATAGCCAGACCATGTCTCTTTGTTTATTCATTTTATTTTTAAATTTTGTATAGAGACAACATCTGTTTAAAAAAAATAAAAGGTTGAAACAACAGCAGTACTCTCAGATTCATTCTCAGTTTCAAAATATAGGAAACATACACTTTTTTAATTTGAAATTACTTTTGAAACTTTTATGTTATGTTAAAAAGTTTATGTTAAACATTTTAGTTTTATGCAGTTTATCTTTCCCAAAGGAGTAACATTTATTATAGAATGTTTCTTTACATTGTTGGAAATTTTAAATTGACTTGACATTCAATTGTTTTTTTAAAAGCAAAAATATGTATGTTTTCCTTGTTAGCTTATCTCATGTTACTCAGGGTAAACCCTTGATTGTTCAAATTAAGTAGGAAAAATTATTCTTTAGGAGGGCCCAATTTTGTATTCAATAGTTGTGTTTGTAGTTCAGATTTATACCGCATGTCAGATTAATGCTGATATCTTACATATGTTAATGACATAGAAACTGTAAAGTAAAACTTGAACTTATTTGAATATTTGTAGTATTTATCATTTTATTGTTTTCTTTCTAGTGCATCTATCCTTTGTCCTCTAAATCGCTAAATAAACTAATTTCTCCTGATTCAGAAGAGTGTCATACTCTAAGTAAGCCTCAAAAAAGAAAGATCTTGGAAGCCAACTGTAAAGATTCACTTTTAGTAAATTCCAAAAAGACTAGAAATCATATTGTTGCTGATGAACAGACTTTGAACAGCAAACATAATGGAGAAGTATATGATGAAACCTCATCAAATCCAATTAAGACAGCTGATTCCTTGGAACAGAATGCGATTTTGGAAGCTGATATTGTTGACTCAGCTACTGAAAAAGATCTTACTACAGTTGATGTCTCTGGAACTGTGGGGACTTCCCCTCAAAATGAAGGATGCTCTTCTGAACTGGAAATGGCATTGGAAAGCAAATGTACATCATTTCACCAGGCTTTATGTGTCCAATGGAAAAATGCTTATGCTCTCTGTTGGTTAGACTGTATCCTGTCAGCTTTGGTGCACTTGGAAGGGTTAAAGAACACTGTGACTCAACTGTGCTCTAAGGAGGACTCTGTATTCTGGCAGCTGTTCGCAAAATACAATCAAGCAAATAAGCTTCTATACGCCAATCAATTGGATGGAGTTAAAGGTTGGCACTAATATTTTATTTCTCTTTAATTCTTAAAGATATTAATGTGGCAGTTTGTCTCGCAGCATATGGGAAAGATGTCATCTGTAGCTTCTGTTTTATACAGAGATTTGGGAGTAAGGAATTCAAGGACAGTATGAAACTTGGAATGATACCAGTTGTATTATCACAACTGCCCCAAAGCTAGTCATTTTCAAAAACTAAAGAAGAGGCTATGGATGTTTCTTAGCCTGTCGGGATAATAGAGGCCATCATAGATTGCATCAAAGTAAAATTTTAAATTTCTAAACTACTGAAAAGCAGAATGAAGAAGTAAATAAAATCACCCACAATTCTCCAACCCCCCCCCCCCAAATCTCTCATCACTATAATTATGCCTGATTTGTAAGTTAAACCTGATCACTGGTGTGTATCTACAGGAAAAAACATAGTGTATATAGGATTCCGTACTATCTGATGTTACAGGAACCCACTGGAGGTCTTAGAAGGTATCCTTTGCAGATAAGGGCGGAACAGATAGTACTGGATTCTATATATACTATTTTTTCTTATACAAACATACTTATCGATCAAGTTTAGTTAGTATTAAATTAATCTGGCTCAGCATGTTGCCATCAGTTGGAACATATTTCTGATCATGTGTTCCACAGATGTATTGCTTTTTTTCATCTTAACTAAGCACCACCATACAGTGTGGCTATAACTTTTGTAGTTTGAAGTATGACAGCAAAACTAGCATGAATTTCTTTTTCCACTTCACAGTTTCATTGATCAGAGATAGGTTGTCTTAGAGACCTTAGCAACCTCAGCATATGATTTTTTTCTTTCTTTCTAGGTCAACAACTTACACTTAAAGGAAGCACTCTATGGCTTCTCTTTGTCATATTAGAATTGCTAGCATCTCTACTCTTGCCCTTTGTGGCTACTATTAAATCAAATAATGACTTGAACACAAGCACTGCAACGCCACCACAGTCAACCTGATAATCTAGGTGGCTACTCAGTGACTCATAGACAGGGAGTGTAGACAGCACTGGGTACTTGGGACAAAGGGAGGATTCACTGGCAGGGGGTGGGGACAGGGCAGGAGGGTACAAGATTTTATCTCACTAAGAATGGTGTGAAATTTGAAGTTTATGAATTATTTCTGGAATTTTCCAGGTAATGTTTTTAGACCATCTTCTACTCAGGTAACTGAAACCATTAGGAAGCAAAACTACTCGTAAGGAGGGACTACTGTATTGCCTCATCTAGTTTGTTTTGAACTTCATAAAAAGAATGTCCTGTAATATACCCTCTGGGACCTCTCTTTTTCTTTTTGTAAAGATGTATCTATAGAGCTGCTTCGCTTCATTTTCATTGCTGTATAATATTTCTATTTGGTAGATATAACAGTTTATTTGTTCACCTGTGGGTGGACAATTGGTTATTTTTTGCCATAATGAATATGAATACTGCTGCTGTGACCGCTCTTGGGCAGATCTCCTGGGGCTTGGTACAAGCATTTCCCTTCAACATACCTTAGGAGTGGAATTGCCAAATCATAGGTCTGAGTCCAGATTTAGAAGATAATAGCAGTTTTCCCAAATGGTTGTACCTGTATAGTGCTTCCATTAACTATATTAGAGATATTCCTGATTCATATGTTTTCCCTAGATTATTTTCATACTTTGAGATTTTTACTTTGAGTGGGGTAAAATGAACAATGGTCTTAATTTGCCTTTCTCATATTTTAGAGAGGTTGTTGGCTCTTCATGTTTATGTTGATCAGATTTGTTCCCTCTTGTATGAAATGCCTGTTTAAGTCTTATCCCTGTTCTGTTGATTGTCATGCTTATGTGGGGTTTTGTATATCCTTTTTGCCATTTTTATGTCAGATAAGTGTTGCTGAATCTCCCAATATGTGACATATGTATTTACTTTTCAAAAGCTGTTTTGATTTACAGGGAAATCTTTAGCTTTCCTTTTGAAGCTAGTAATATTTGTGGCTTTTTAAAAGAAATATTTTCTTTCTCTAAGAACAAAAAGTCATTTATCTGCATTTTCACTGAAAATAAAGTTTTGCTTTTTTTTTTTTTTGAGACACAGTTTAACTTGGTCAGCCTGGGTAGGGTGCTGTGGCGTCATACATAGCTCACGACAACTTAAAACTCTTGGGTTCAAGCGATCCTATTTCCTCAGCCTCCTAAGTAGCTGAGACTACAGTCACCTGCCACAGCGCCCAGCTATAAAGTTTTGCTTTTGACATTGAAATTTTTAATTCAGCTGGAATTAATATTTATGTATGGTATGAGGTTAGAGTCCATTTTTTTAATTTGAATAGCCAGTTTTTCTAGCTCTACTTTTTTCCCTCAATCTGCCATGCTATTTTTGTCATATATGTATTAACATTTCGTATGTGTGTGCCACTGTTCTTTAACTCTGTTTTGTTCTCTTGGTCACTTTTTGTCTGTCCCTGCACCCACAGTGTTTAAATTAGCATGGCTTTTTAAGTCTCACAATCTTGTAAGGCAAGAATCTTCACCTTTATTCAACTTATTTTGAAGTATCTTGGTATTTTTTTTCCTTATCTTGTGCATATATTTTTTTGACCTACATGACATACCAAGCTTTCTTTACTTGACATTGCAATTAATGTCTAAAAAGTGTGACTTTGGTTATGCTGTCTTTTATATGGATTTTGTATGTTGCTTCCCTGTTGTTGACTATTCAGGAACAAGTTTTGCTGTTATGAATTAACACCAGGGCAGATATCCATATATCTTTGGAATCCATTGTTGATTAACATCCTAGTGGGATTATTAAATAGGAATATTAAGGTTCTTGCTCAGTGGCTTTTCAGAAGGATTATACCAATATATAATTTTATTTTCATTGTGTAGTAAAATATATCTCAGCATTCTAACCACTTTGGGCATAAATATTTATAAATGATTTTGTTAGGTAAGAAATGTTTTGCTTAAATTTAGGTTCCTTTGAGACTGGATTTTTTAAAAAATATGTTAGTCATTTGTAGCTTTTTGCAAGTTGGTTTTGATTTCTCAAACATTTTTGCCTTCGATGTTTCTGGGTTTTTTTCTATAATTACAGGAACCCCAGTGCTGAGTAGGTGATAGTTGTTTAGTTGACTAATGTAGAAGAGCAACAGTTTGATATTGGAACTCATTTTTTACAGGATAATTGTAGTTTTTATAATCTGGTTAATTGTTTTTGTTTCAGGTGCATTACTAATGCATTACAAATTTTCTTTTTTAGCATGGTTAACTAACCAAAGTTCTGGTTAATGCGTATGTCATATTGTAGGAGAATACAGATATTTTCACTAGTGAAATATGTAAGTAGCATGTGATCAGGCTGTATGAATTATTTGCAAGATATGTGAGTGAAAAGATTCATGTATAGCTTGAGAGTAACGAGTCAGATGAATACAGAAGCTTTTATTCAAAATAATTTTCTTATTAAAAGTTTTTTGTCATGGTAATTTTATCTTGAGGACTTTTAACTCTAAAGAAGTGATCAAAAATATGGTGGACAGGTATGTGCCCAAAGACACTCATCACAGTGGCATTTATACTAGAGAAAAAAGAAACAAATGTATAGCAATAGGGGGACAATTAATAGGACTGTTTCAGTCACAGTATAATAAACAGCCTGCAAAGTTTCTAATGAAGCAAATACGTGTAGACAAAACAAGATATGGAATTAAATAAACACTATGGTGCCATTGAAGATCCATTTACACCCCACAGAAATACATAGGAGGGCAAATGCCAAATAATACTTTGGGAAAGAATCATAACATTAAGATTCCTCATAGCTTGGCGCCCATAGCACAGTGGTTACGGCACCGGCCACATGCACAGAGGCTGGTGGGTTCCAACCTGGCCAGGGCCAGCTAAACAGTGACAACTACAGCAAAAAAATAGCCAGGCATGGTGGCAGATACCTGTAGTTCAGCTACTTGGGAAGCTGAGGCAAGAGAATCGCTTAAGCCCAAGAGTTTGAGGTTGCTGTGAGCTCTCTGATGCCATTGCACTCTACCAAGGGCAACAGAGTAACACTCTGTCTCAAAAAAAAAAAAAAGACTCCTCATAAATTGATGTGTTCTTATGACCTAGCTAAACCTAGTAAAAATTATACATAAAATACAAAATAGAATAAATGATTAGATGCTGTTTCTAGGATAAATAATAATTGCACATAAAGAGATAACTTCAGCTGTTTCAGAGATGCACAATATCTGAAAGGTTAGTTATTTTCCTTAAGACTGTGATTATTTGGATGAGAAAGGCTTTCACTGAAATTTTACCCAGGCAGTAAGTACTAATAATTTTGTGCTGATAATATTAAGGGAATATATGGTATATAAAACAGAGGAAGAGGAATTAAGGAAATTGTTTTTTGTCTCTTTGCAAAACTTACTGATGAACTTTCATTCATTTTTCTGTGGAAAGATATACATTGATGAGGAATTAATAATGTATATTTTATTTAGATGGAGATTGTAAAAAACTTAATTCAGAAATATATGCGGAAATAGAGACCTGTCTGAATGAAGTCAGAGATGAAATTTTTATTAGACTTCAGCCCCAGCTTAGATGCACATTAGGTAAGTAATTGGTGTAACTTAACTATTACTCATCTACCATATAGAAATATGTACATCATAAGGTGATATATTGTTTTATTACTTTGGGAGAGAGAATCTCTGGTAGTTTGACTTAGGAAATCTGACACTGGTAAAAATCATTGTTGGGCAGAACTATTTCATATAAATATGGAGACTGGTGTTACCCACTTTTGAGAGTGGGTACAGTTCTCTGAACCAGAATATGGAGGAGGGATATCATTCCCCAGTACTTTTCCCAGAAAATTAATGGAACATTTTCAGCCTTATGCTGTGCATTAAAAAACACCTATAGAATTTAGAAGTAAATGCCAGTGCTAGGGAACAATACCAGGCCAATTAAATCAGAACCTCAGAGATGGGGCTCAGGTAATCAGTAATTTTTAGAAGCCCCTACATGATTCCCATGTATGGACAGGGTTGAAAATCTATGACCTAAACCAACCATAGTAGTTTTACTATTACTATGAGTGATTGGTTTAGGAATGAACATGTACAGTTTTGGCCAATGGGAGAAATATACTGATGACCTTTTGGGAATGCTTTCTCGCCTTTAGTTTTTTTTTTTTTTTATTTCAGATTAATATGAGGGTATAAACAGTTTACAGTGTTTGCATTTGTTAGGTATAGGCCTTATAGTTGTACTTCTCACCCAGGAGGTATGTCATATACCCTTACATTGTGCTTATTAGGTGAGAGCACACCAATCCCTTCCCTTCTGCTCCTCCTCCCACTTGAATTAAATTGAGTTTTTCTCTTAATTGTGTTTTTCTCCTGTGTGGGCATATATTAATTCATCTGCTAGCTTTATTTTAGTATTGAGTACATTGGATACTTGGCTTTTCCATTCTTGTGATATTTACTAAGGAGAATGTTCTCCAATTCTATCCAGGTTAATACAAAAGATGTAAAATCTCCCCATCTTTTTTTATAGCTGAACAGTATTCCATAGTATACATATACCACAGTTTATTAATCCATTCATGGGTTGGTGGGCACTTGGGCTGATTCCACATCTTGTCAGTTGTAAATTGAACTGTTGTAATCTAGTGCAAATGTCCTTATGATAAAATAATGTGTTTTCTTCTGGGTAGATGCCTAGTAGTGGGATTTGCAGGGTCAAATGGGATGTCTAATTTGACTTCTTAGAGGATTCTCCATACTTCTTTTCAAAGAGGCTGTATTAGTTTGCAGTCCCACCAACAGTGTAAAAGTGTTCCCTTCTCTCCATATCCATGCCAGCCTCTGCAGCTTTGGGACTCTGTGATGTTGGCTATTTATTCTCACTGGGGTTAGATGATATATTAGGGTGGTTTTGATCTGCCTTGTTCTGATAATTAGGGACGATGAGCATTTTTCATTTGTTGGCGATTTGCCTGTCTTCTTCAGAGAAGGTTCTGTTCATGTCTCTTGCTCAGCTATAGATGGGATTGTTTGTTCTTTTTTTTGTTGATTAATTTGAGTTCTTATGGATTCTAGTTATCAACCCTTTGTCAGATTTGTAACATGCAAGTATCTTTTCCCATTGTGAAGGTTGTCTAATTGTTGTGTCCTTATCTTTGAAGAAGCTTTTTAGCTTAATTAAGTCCCATTTTTTTTGTTGTTGTGATTGCCAATGAAGTCTGCTTCATAAATACTTTCCCTAGGCCAATATCATCAAGAGTTTTTCCCACACTTTCTACTAGGTTTTTTGTCATTTTATGTACGTAGATTTAAATATTTTATCAATAGTGAATCAGTTTTTGCAGTTGGTGAAAGGTACAGGTCTACCTGTACCTTTTAGATGTGGTTATCCAATTCTCCCATTACCATTTATTGAATAGGGATTCTTTTCCCCAATTAATGCTTTTGTTTGGTTTATCAAAGATGAGATGGTGATAGTAGGTTGGTTTCATCTCTTGGTTTTCTATTCTGTTGCATATGTCTATGTCTCTATTTTTGTGCTAATACCATGCTTTTGATCACTATGAACTTTTAACATAACCTGAAGTCTGATAAGAGTGATTCCTCTGGCTTTGTTTTTATTACTGAGAATTGCTTTGGCTGTATGGTGTTTTTTCTGGTTCCTTAGAAAATGAAGAACTATTTTTTCACATTCTTCAAAGTATGTTGGTATTTTAATGGGATTGCATTAAATCTGTAAGTTGCTTTGAGTAATATAGACATTTTAACAATGTTGATTCTTTCCGGCCAAGAGCATGGTTTATTCTTCCATTTGTTAATGTCTTCAGCTATTTCTTTTCTTAGGGTTTCATAATTCTCTTTGTAGAGATCCTTCACGTCCTTTGTTAGATATATTCCCAGGTATTTCATTTTGTTTGAAGCTGCTGTGAAAGGTACTGTGTCCTTGATTTGCTTCTTAACTAGACTGTTATTGGTATATGACATTACTATATTTCTTGATCTCTTCCAGGAGTCTTGTGGTTGAATCTCTGGGGGTTTCTAAGTCTAAGACCATAAGCAAAGAGTGAGACTTTGACCTCCTCTGCTCCCATTTGGATGCCTTCATAGCCTTATCTTGCCTGATAGCATTAGCTAAAACTTCCAGAACAATGGTGAATAGTAGTGATAGTAGACATCCTTGTCTAGTTTTTCTCACCTTTAAAAGAGGCACAAGATTTCTCAAAGCAAACCAAGTAGACTAAAATAAATAAATAAAAAGCATAAGACCTGCTTTGTCCTTTGAATTGTTTTTTTGGCTAGGGGGTGCAGAGTGAAGCAAGGAAGCCAGAGTCTCCATTCAGATCTTTCTAAATTTTTTTAGTTATTACAAAAACAAGCTGCTAGTGATTTTATTTTATTTATTTTTTTCAGAGGGATATCTTTTTATTTCCCATTTATTCTTGTAATTCTCCTATTAGTGTTGGTAGCAGAATATAAGATGCTACCTAGTAGTAATTACCCATATTAAATATCAGTATCTGCTAGTTTTTCTCTCAGTGGGTGGCATTTTTCCCATTAGATCCAGATAATGTATCTGGTAGCATTGTCTTTTGTACATGACCTACTTCTTTGTCATAGCATTCTGCTGGTTTTCTACTTTTTTTTTTTCGTATTTTTTAAAATTGATGTATAATGTACATTTATTTCATTTTTCACTGACTCTTACATCTATAATTTACTGTTATTTATTTTTTACTTTTTTTTATTTTTTGAAACAGAGTCTCCCTCTGAGTCTACCCTGGATAGAATGCCATGGCATCATAGGTCACAGCAACCTCAAACACCTGGGTTCCACCAATCCTCTTGCCTCAGCCTCCTGACTAGCCTGGGACTACAGGAGTGCGCCACAACCCCTGCTAGTTTTTTTGTTTTTAGTAAAGATCAAATCTTTTGCTCCTGAGCTTAGGCTGTCTTATCAGCCTTGGTCTCCCTGAGTGCTAGGATTTCCCTGTTCTTAAATAGTCTGATTTTCCATGTTTCAAATCTCTGGCATTGCCTTTTGTAGGTCTAAAGAACCGTTCTAATTTATCATCTGTGGAATTTCAGCTGCAATGAATTTTCTTTATCATAGTATAAATTATATACATTTAGTAAAACTCTTAAAAATGTATATAGTTGGCTTGGCTCCTGTAGCTCAGCAGCTAGAGTGCCAGCCACATACACTGGAGCTGACAGGTTTAAATCCAGCCTAGGCCTGCCAAACAACAATGACAACTGCAACCAAAAAATGGGTGGGCATGTGGCTGGCACCTGTGGTCCCAGCTGCTTGGGAGGCTGAGGCAAGAGAATCGCTAGAGCCCAGGAGTTTGAGGTTGCTGTGAGCTGTGACGCCATGGCACTCTACCCAGGGTGACAGTAGTGAGACTCTGTCTCAAAAAAAAAAGGTATATAGTTGTGTTACCATCACTACAGTCAAGTACAGGAAGCTGTATCAGCTTGAACATTTTCACTACACTCCTTTGTAGTCAAACCTTTTCTCAACCCCAACCACTTACCTGTTGGATGAATACTCATTTCAAAGGATACTTTTCCCTAAGATCCTTAGAGTATAGCTAGAGGGGTTTCCATGTTGCCTTTCCCTCTTAGAGAAACCTAAAATGTTTTGCTCAAGGTTCCTAGTGTAGTTTCCAGTTGAATTAAAGAATAATTTGTCTTCCAATCTGAATCACCTGATAATTATATTTGAAACAAAGTTATATGGAGGCTCCACCTCCTTGGGCCTAGTTTTCTATGTAACAGAAGAAATTTTTAAATTATTATTTTTATGTGATCATAATAATTGAGCAAAGCATATAGTACCGTAGGAATCTTCTCTTGTTGGTACTACCCAGTCAGCAGTGATAGGTGCTAAATTAGAGCTGACGTTCTTACTAATGAAATCTAATCTTTGCCCCAAAGTCTTACCCATCTGTATGTTGTCATTCTGAATGTTAGTCTTTATTTTAAAGTAGTAAAGATGTGAAAGTAGGATCTATACTGACCCTGAATGTTGATTAAACTTTTAGGTTTAGCTTCTTTATCATTTATTGTTTTTAAAAAACACATTGTGAACTAGCTTTGCGGTCCCTCCCTGCAATTTAAAAAATAAAATGTTACAAATTCTACAGAAGCCCCTTGTGTGTTCTTCCCCTGTTCTTCTTTATCTTCCCTTAAAGGTAACTGCTATCTTGAATTTGCTATTTTCTTTCTCTTCAGTGTTTGTACTTTTTTTAAAAAAAAGCAAAAGCTAATATTGGTATGGTTTCTTCTTATTTATGTAAGTCCGAAGACTAATTTACTTTTTGAGTAGGCAGATGAGTCGAGATCAGAAGCCTCCCCCTGTGGTTACTTTATACTGTGACAGAAGTGTTTGTACAGGTAAGAGGCTGTCCAGTAAATAGTACCGCTTCAGTGGGCTCCTGACCCACAAGGAAAGTTGGGTACCTGCTTCACATCATATTCAGAAAGAATCTTCAGCATATTTTAAGATCTAAATATGGACCGGATGTGGTAGCTCATGCCTGTAATCCTAGCACTCCAGAAGACCAAGGCAGGGGGATCCCTTAAATTCAGGAGTTAAAGTCCAGCCTGAGTAAGAGTGAGACCCCATCTCTACTAAAAATAGAATAATTAGCCAGAGTGTTGTGGCAAGTACCTGTAGTCCCAGCTAATTGGGAGGCTGAAACAGAAGGATGACTTGAACCCAAGAATTTGAGATTATGATGTAGTCTAAATTCCATAGCACTCTAGCCTGGCCATCTGACTGAGACTCTTTTTTTTTTTTTTTTTT